TGAAAAGGGGCGGAATAGAGATAGAGGTGGTGCCAGAGTTTCATATCGTTATGCCATGTTCGTATAATTTCTTGATGAAAGGGCTTTGAATGGTTCTTTATGCTACAACAATTTGGGCATGTATAAATAAGAATTAATCATACTGTCTCCCTGTACTCCCTTCAATGGAATGCTGTCAGGGATCTTGTGCACTTGCCTACGCTTTACAGTTTAGGACATTTGGAAGACTTTGAAAGATTTTATTATATGTCATATTTGCAATCCTCCTTCCACAGGCGTAGCAGCTCTCTCTTTTTCACTGTCTCGAAATCTTAGCGTATTCTGATTTGCTGTGAGAATTTTATCTTGTTGTTTTTTTTTGGGGGGGGGGGTTGGCCAAAACTTTAACTTATTCATTTCAGGTTGCAATTGTAGGTTTTGGAACAAAAATAAAAATTTTGGCAGCATCTGAGCTCTTATATATGAGACTTGGGAGACTTGGAATGCCTTCTTCCGAGGGTATTTTATAGAGGAGGAAGCAACATTAAAAAAACTCAGAATGGTCGTTGCCTGGCGCCCTTAATCTTTCCTAATAAGTGCATGGCTGCTGGAGCAATTGCGTGCCAACAGAGAGGGCTCTGCGTCCCCATTTGTGGACGTGTGCCATAGGTTTGCCATCACTGCACTATAGTATAATGGTCTGTGGTTTAATAAGTCTATTTTTACACACACACACACACGCACACAAACATGCACAGAAACACACACACACACATGTATTTGTGAGTATCAATATGTGCAATACACTTGGAAAGGAGTTGTAAATAGCTGTTGTTATATGGAAAGTGTACATGCTGTAAGACGATTGCATGGATAGAATGCAACATCTGGAATATCTGGCCAGGGCGACTTCTTTTGTTTTCTTTTCTTTTATAACTTTTCTTTTATAACTTCTTTTATATCATTTATATTTTTTATTTATTTTATGTTATTTATTTTAATTTTATATTGTTATTTTTGTATTGTGTTGTATTTTATTGTGTTGTAAGCTGCCCTGAGGCTTCGGCAAGGGGTGGCATAGAAATGTTCTAATAATAATAATAAATAATAATAACATGGACGCTAAGAATCACAGTAAAAATATCAATCAAGCCCAAAATAAAAGCTTGCAGCAGCACAATTGTTAGCATATAGAAGCAGGCTTAACGACACAGAGGTTTTCCGGCAAATTGTCTAGTAACCATGCCTATATATGGTCACTGAGAGGGTTTGGCCAGACATCCCCCAGGCTGCACAGAGGAGGATTAGGACTGTGGTTTCATAGTGTGAGCAGGCCGGCTCCCTCCAGCTCCCAGTGCCATCACAGAGCTGCCAGTTCTCGTGGGTCATAAACAGACCCCTGATAAAAGCCAGGAGTTTGTGAGGCCAAGCTCAGACTGCAGCCATCCTTTGGAGGGTCCAGCCCTCTCAGCTGAGCTCACCTCAGCCATCCAGCTGAGCTCACCTGTGGATGTGTAAGCTTGGCAATTGTTGCCAAGTGCTGGTCTTGGGCCTGGAATGCAGCCCTCTCATCCATTGGGCTCACCTGTGGAAGAGACTGCTTGGCAATTGTTGCCAAGCACTGCTCCTGAGCAAATTCCAGGAAGGTGAACAATGATCAAAGCGTGGAAGTGGAGACGCACAGGAGGAGACACCACTGACGACAAGCTCTCCAAGAAATGCCATGGAGAATTCCGTCAGCCCCACTGGCCGGCTGGAAAGCGCCCACCGAAGAGGCAGCGGTGATGCAGAAAGCGGAAGCCCAGCCTTGCGGGGACGGTGTTGAACAGAATCCAAACTCTGTCCCGAGATCTGGCTGAAGTATGCAGATCCATTCCAACAGCCAGCACAGCTGAAGACTGCAAGCAAAAATAGAATATTATATTTTTGATACAATAAAATAAATACTGATTTATTTCTTATAAAACCATTTGCCTTCTTATTCATTAAAATAAAAATACTACAGTCCTTGAGAAAAAAATCTAATGTTTGGAAGTTACGTTCAAGTATACTTACAAACCCCCCAATTGTTCAAAGAATTAGAAGAGAAATTATGTTTTTTATGCCGCTAATGAGAAAGAGCCAATACAGCCTGCACAGTTTTGGGAGAATTGGCAAGCCTTCTTCCAAGGGTATTTTATAGACGAGGGAGCAAGATTAAAAAAAGAGAGAAACAGAGGTCCAGAATGACTGGGCATTGAAAGAAAGACTGACAGAAGGACTTAAGGAAATGGGTTGAAATAAAACCTTTATACAACTTAAGGGGACTGAATCAGAATTGGAAACATTAGACACATTAAACCAAACGCAACCATGAGGAACTTAAAGAGGAGCTGCTAGTAGGAGGAATTATACAAGACAGAATTCATAGAGACATATTAAAGAATTTGTGAGTGTATTACCAACAGTACCAATTTCCGAAGAACATAAACAACAGCTTAACTGTCCAGTAACAGTAGTGGAAAGCAGAACAGCTATTCTGAGACTAAGAAAGAGGAAAATTATTGTGCTCGGAATTAGAAAATTAGGGTGGAGGGTGTATCCATACACTTGTCAAAATTATACATCCCATTATTAGGTGGAGGAAACTACCAGAATCTTGGAGAATATCTAGAAGAATAGTGACACCAAAACAAGGGAAAGACCTTAGCCTTCCCTTAGCAAGCACACCAATTACATTACAAAGCCAGGATCAAATTCATTGTCTTCAAATTTGGCTCAAAGATTTATTTATTATTTATTTATTAAAACATTTTTACATTTTGATTGATCAGTTACCTAGTGGAGTATACTTACGCAGATCAGTACAGCTTGATGCCAGCCCGACAAGCGGCTGATGCGACCGGAAGAACGCTAAATATTAAATTTGGGGCAGCTGAGGAGAAACCGAAAATAGCAATGCTCTCATTGGATGTGCTTCAAGCTTTGGATCATGCGGAATGGCACTATTTGTTTTAAGTTAAGGGGAACGTGAATTTGGGCAAGGGATTTATTACACATCTAAAAGGCTATATGATGGAGAATTTGCAAAGGTACTGATTCATGAATGAGAATCTGAAATATTGGCATTTCACCAGGGGATGGGACAGGGAGACCCCTTGTCTCCTTTAATATTTGCTATGCTCAGGGAACCATTGGTTTCTAGCACAAGAAATAAGGATAATATTATAGGCGTGATAATTAGGAATACGCGGCACCAAATTAACCTTTATAAAAAGGATAGTTTTTTGCTTTGGAAGGATCTCAAAAAAAGCACAGGACATAGAATAGTTAGAACATTAAAATATTATTAAAATTAAAAAGGAGTTCATCAAAATATTTTCAATTAATTAAAACAATCGCTAGAAAATTTTAACAATTACATGGGATTAAACATTAATGGTCAAATATTTAAATTATTATGCACAAATATCACTATATCAGAGCAAAGTGAGATTAAGGCACTGTCTAGCTTAGACCGGTGCTCTTCCAGTTTTAAATGATTGGCAATTTGGCTAACAAAAAGTAAACATTGATTGACATATGGAAATTATATGTGTAGGTAGAGTGAAATAAGAGAGAAAGTTAGGAAGTGCAATACATCAAAATTTCATAACTAGGGAGAATTGTGGTGGTAAGAGCTCATATTCTGCCAAAAATTTTATTTTTTTCTAAAACCTACCATTGCAACCAGAAATAAATAAGTGAAAGTTGTGTCACAAAAAAAAAAGAAAAGAAAGAAAAAGAAAAAGAATGACTCAGCAAATCAGAATGATCTAAGAGTTCAAAACAATACAAAAAGGAGAGCTGCCACTGCCAAGGAAGGAGTATTGGCAATCCCACATGGAATAAAATCTTAGGAAGCCCTCCACATGTCCTGACCTGTAAAGCTTATACACGTGAACAAGATCCCCGACTGAATTCAAATGGAGGGAGTACAGGGAGACTGTACAATTAATTCTTATTATACATGCCCACATTGTTGGAGCATAAAGAAGAATTCAAAACCTTTTTATCAAGGAAGCTATACGAATATGGCATAAATATATGAAAACTCTGGCACCACCTATATCTCCATTCCGTCCCTTTTTGGAGCAGCCTAAATTGAAATTGCAAGAAGCATACGCACAATTCAGTGGCTGGAAAGAAATAGGCATCTCTGAATTTAGAGATGGACTTGTACATGGAAACCAATTTCAATTCGGCAATTAGAGGAAAAGACTAGTCAAAGAAAAAGTTATGGGTTGCAACTGACTCAAATCAGAGATTTGTCAAATCGAGTATATGTAACTTCAGGACCTATTAGAACATTGATAGCATTAGAAAATTATTGTATGGAAGAAGCAATTGTAAACAAAAACAAAAATGCTTTAATCTCAATTTTGTATAAATGTATTGTGAAAGATGAGTGCACTGGTCACAAAGGAACAACATCCGTATGGGAAAGAAATTTCAATATTTAAATACCAGCAAAAGTGTGAACAGGAATATGAAACTCTCAGTTATAGGAATCAGTATCAGCAAAATCTGAGGAAATGGTATGGAAGAGAATTCAAAGATGGCACTGATTCCCCACAAAAATTAATAAAATAAATAAGGAAATATAGTACATTTGTTGGCAAAATTGTGGGGTAAAAGGCTTGCTTGAACATATGTGGATTTCTTGCCCAAAAGTGGAATTATTCTGGAAAGAGGCAATTAAATGGCTAGAAAAGTTAATGCATCAGAAAAAGATTGGTAATGAAACACTCCTATTATTCTCCCTCTGTGTGGATGGGAACGAGAATTTAAATACGAAAGAGCAGGCGAGATCCTAATGGGAGCAGCGAGATTAGAAATTCGGCCTGATCGGAGAGATGTCAAGGGGTTCTCCTTTCCAAGATACTTAGGAAGGATATGGGGAATTGCACTAATGAAGAAATTGACTAGACATGTTGGAATCCTGAGAGGGGAAATGAAAATGGATAATTTCATTAAACTTTGGCACCCCTTACTGACCTTCAATATGGAATGAAATATTGAGATAAATATGCTGGATAACCCAGAAGCAGTGATGAAGGACCTTTTAGAGACCGAGTGCCCAAACTGCAACTCAGAACCCACCTATTTATCGCAAGGTGCCAACACTGCAGCATAACCTGAATTTGCTGACCACCAGCACAAGGGGGCAAGGTTCCAGTGCCCACCAGCTTTTGGTCGGCCCAGAAAAAGGCATCTGACTGTATTGCCTTCCTGAGTGTATTCCTACCTTTCCTTCCTTCTGCTCAAATCACAACAGGTTGTGCAGATTCAAACCGGCGACCTTCCGATCAAGCAGCCCGGCAGCTCAGCAGTTTAAACCACGGCACCACCTGCATCCCGCTAAAATCACAGTCCATGCAAATCCCTTGCAGCTCACCGACCACCCATGCGAAAACTCGGCGAGGCCCAGAATGACTGGACGTTGAAAAAAAGACAGACAGAAGGACTTAAGGAAATGGGCTGAAAGAAAACCTTTATACAACTTAAGGGGACCAAATCAGAATTGGAAACATTAGACACATTAAACCAAATGCAGCCATGAGGAACTTAAAGAGGAGCTGCTAGTAGGAGGAGTTATACAAAACAGAATTATTAGTAGGAGGAGTTATACAAAACAAATTACTCTAATAATTTGATATGAAGTTTTTTGCATGTGGGCACACGCACAGGATTCCATGAAGAAAATAAAGATGTGTATAAAGTGGCATCTATCAATTTATCAATTCTTGTTCCTGTACGTTTCTTACATTTCTTTCAGGCCACCAAAATAGCATCAGAGTAATTTGTGCTGCTGTACTGAAGTAGCTTGCTGAAGTAGACAAGTAGAAAATTCTGCATAATATCTTAAATGTGGTAACACATTCCTGCAGGGAATGCTCATTTCATCAATATAGATTTATACTGTTTTGGATTACGTCTTTTACTTATATCAGATGTAGGGATAAGTGAATCTGCTAAGCTTCTTTCCCTCAGGTTCTTAGTTTTTCACAGCTAAGTTCATTACATCTCTTTTCCACATTGGATTGCAGGATGGTTTTAATCTGTATATAAAAAATGCTTAACCATATTTTCACTAACCGTTTAAATATTGCACATTTTTGAAGTGCAATTTTTTTGCACACTATTCAAACGCATGAATTTTTGCAAGGAATTTTCATCAAGCCATTTTCATGCACATTTTTGAAATACCTTTTATATGAACTGTTGTACATATTGTTTAAATGTACACTGTGTGAGGTGTGTGCACTACAAACTTGAGAATATTATGGTGTTTTGCATCCCATTGCATTTTTGTTCCAGGTTAGGTTGGGTCTGGGGAGCGTGAATTTTTTAAGCTGATACTGAAATGAATTGCATTAATTTCTCAACCATTTCTGATTGACTGTCCCTAGTGGGTACAGAAAGACACATGTAGGGAAGGACTTCAATCCATGAACCTTGGGTTCCACAATCCTTACTTTTCCTTCATGAATATGCAAAAGAAGGAAATTAATATCTCCCACTTTTGGATAAAGTTAGTTTCTTTTAAGCCCTGAT